AGAGCAACCAGCAAGTACATGCAAGATAGATGACAGATAGACAGAAGAAAGCTAGTAAAAGGAAAGTAATCTCATAGATGCCCTAGGGTGGGGAGGATGGGGCACCATTAAAGAAAAAAGGTGAAATTTGACCTGAGTCTTGAAGGAGGCCAAGAAGCTAGGAGGCTGAAGTGAGGAGGGAAGATATTCCTGGCATGAGGGACAACTCCTGAAGAAGTAAGGAGATGGAGTATCATATGTGGGGTAAGCAAGCCAGTGTAGCTGAATCATAGAATAAGAAGACTGGAAAGGTAGGAAGGGTCCAGGTTTAGAAAGGCTTTAAATGCTAAACAAAGCATTTCTATTTGATCCTGGAGGTACTAGTTACAAGAGATAGAGATGGTGGGGTGGGGTGTGACAAGGTCCTTTCTATGCTTTAGTAAAATCACTACTGCATATTGTAAAGACAATCAGCTTCGTAACTGATCAATACAGTAATACACCACAACTCCAAAGGATGCATGATATAAAATGTCATCCACCTCCAGATGGAGAATTGATGGTCTGAGTACAGATTGAAGTATGTTATTTTTCCTTGCTTTTTTTAAAAAACATGGTTAAAGTGGAAATACATTTTGCATGACTTCATATATATAATGGGTATCATATTTCTTGGCTTCTCAATGGGTAGGTGAGGGAAGGAGAGAACTTGGAACTGAACATAAAAATCAAATGAAAATCACTACTGCAGCTGAGTAGAGGATGGATTTGAGTGGAGACTGACAAAGTAAGGGAGACCAATCAGAAGACTATTTTCAATAATCTAGGAGTGACATGATGAAGGCTTGCAACATGATAGTGGCTCTTAGTAAACTGAAGGGGAGGTATATGAGAAAGCTGTAAAAGTAGGAACACCAACACTTGACAACAGACCAGATATCTGGAGTGTGAGGAGTTGAAAATAACATGTTTGTAAGCCTAAGTGGTAGTGTCTTCAATGGTATTAGGAAAGTCAGGGAGGGTTTTGGGGAAAAGATAGAGTTCCGTTTTAGATATTCTGACTTTAAGATCCAGCTGTTGTTGGCCTAAAGGCAACTGGTGATGCAGGACAGAAGCTTGGAAGAAACTAGATTTGTACATAAAGATCTGGGAATCACCTCTACTGAGACGATAATCTTATCCATTGAAGTTGATGAAATCTTCCAGAGAAATAGTATAGAAGAAGAGAAGAGGGTCTAGGAAAGAGCCTTGGAGAACACTCAGAATTAGTAGGGCATTACCTGGATGAAGATTCAGCAAGAGAATAGGGAGCTGTTGGTAGAAAGAATAACAGGAGAGAGCTATGTCCTGAAAACACAGAGTGGAGGTAGTAACCAGGAGAAGAGAGTGATCAAAAATTTCAAAGACTATAGATTGGTCAAGAAGAATGAAGAATGAGAAAAGGTCATTAGATTCATCAATTAAGAGATCATTGGTAACTTTGGACAATAGTTTCAGTTGAATGATGAGATCAGAAGCTAGACAGGGTTTAGAAACAAGTGAGAGAAAAGGAAGTGGAGGCACCAAATATCAATGGCTTTTTCAAGGAGTTTATATTATATAATCTCAACTGAGCCCTCACTGTGGCAAGGTAATCCTTTTACACTTCTCCTTAACTTGGTTCATTATCCCACACACCACAGCAGCTTTTCCAATGTTTTTCATCCCTCTTCAAACTTCCCACAGCTCTCTTCTCTCTGTATATCAGCTGAGAACTCTGCCTCACATTTTGCTGAAAAAAATTAAGGCCTTTTACAGAGAGCTCCCTCTTCTTCCCTTTTCCATATTTCATATCTCTCAGATGCCTTCTACTACTATCTCCTCTATCCTTGTTTCACATGAAGAGATGGCCCTCTCTTTACCAAGACAAACTCCTCTACCTCCATAAGAAATCTAATTCTATTTCAATTCTCCAATAGATTGTTCCCTATCATCCTTACTCTCTCTCTAATCTAATGTGATCTTCCTAAAGCACAAGTCAGCCAAAGTCACCCCTGGCTACTCAATAAATTCCAGTGGCTCCCTCCCTAGATGACCTGTAGGACCAACTAAAAAAAATCCTCAATTTGGATTTTAAATTTCTTCATAATTTGGTCCCTTCCTAGTTTTCTTATCCCTTACTCCCCATTTCCCCTCCACATACTCAGCAATCCAGTGGCATTGGTCTCTGCTCTTCTTTGCCCACAACACTCCATCTCCCAACTGAATGTTTTCATTGGCTGTCCTCCATGCCCGGAAGGCTTTTCCTCATCTCCACCTCCTAGCTTCCCTGGAGTCCTTTAAGAGTCACCTGAAGTGTCATGTTCCACAAGAAGCCTTTTCCAATTCTCCTTAATCTTAGTACCTCCCCTCTGAGACTTCCCTCTTCCCCAATTTATTCTGCATATATCTTGTTTTTACATAGTTGTTTTCATGTTGTCTCCTCTATTAGACTATGAGTTCCCAGTAGTAGGCCTGGGTTTTTGTTTGTTTTACCTCTTTGTATCCAAATCTGAACAATTTTACTTCTATAACACCCCTCACATCCATTCCCTTCTCACTACTAACACAGCCACCACCCTCACAGTAAACTCCTTGTAAATGGAGATTGTTTTATTTATTGTATTTGGCACTTAGCACATATTAGGAAAGTAATGAATGCTCATTAATTTCTCTTCTTCCTGGATTCCTCATTCATTTCCCTGCTTCCAGTTTCTCTCCTCTCTAATCCACTTTCCACAAAGTTACCAAGGTGATTTTTCCAAAGTATACAGATAACTATATCATCTGTTTACTATATAAAGTCTGATCTTATCATATGCTGACTCCAGTGTTCCCTGGTATCAGTAGGCTCAAATACAAATTCCTGTTTGACAATCCCTTCATGTCCTGGCTCCAACCTACCTTTCTAACCTTATTATATATTACTCCTCTTCCCAAATCCTTGGATCCAGCTATACTGTCCCACTTGCTGTTTCTCATAAGTGATACTACCTCTCCATGCTTTTGCACTAACTTTCCCTCATGCCTAGAATGCACTCTCTCCTTTCTTTCACCAATTAGAATCCCTAGCCTTCTTCAAAACCCAGTTCAAGTGCCATCTTGTACATTAAACCTTTCCTGAACCCATAATTTTGTCAGTGCAGAAACTCCGCCAATACAAATTAACAGCTCTCTTCCAGCTACTGGGGCAGCTAGGTGGCACAGTGGATAGAATGTTGGAGCTGGAGTCAGGAAAACTCATCTTCCTGAGTTCAAATCTGGCTTCAGACACTTACTAGCTATGTGACCCTGGGCAAGTCACTTAACCCTGTTTGCCTTAGTTTCCTCATCTGTAAAGTGAGCTGAAGGAAATGGCAAACTGCTCCAGCATCTTTGCCAACAAAACCCCAAATGGGGTCTCCAAGAGTTATACGTGACTGAAAAAAAAATGAACAACAATAAAAACTCCAGCTGCTACTGACTTCCTCCCAAAAATTACTTTGTTTTGTGTGCACACAGACACAAGTGTATATTATTCCTCCTGAAAGAATATGTTTCCCAAAAGAGGGATAATTTCATTTCTGGCTTTGTGTTCCCAATACCTAGCACACTGCCTAGCTCCTAATAAGTAAGCTTTTAATGAGTCCTTGGTTGGTTTTCACTTACTTTATATGTTAACATAATAAGATAAAGACCAAATATACTGTCTCTAAATCCCTTGTTTTGCTACAATATGGCCTAGAAAACTAAGAGGGCCCAGAGAACTTTCTATGGCTTTCTCCCACTAGCACATTAAAAAAGAGGGCTTATCAGATGAGTCTGTATTCACTTTGGAATTTGGGAAGAGTCTGGCTCTAATAGAATGAGTTATGAGCCTGGTTAACCCAAAGAATAAAATGAGAGATTTCAGATGAGTGGGGACATAGCCATTGGGAAATGACCAAAAGACCCTAATATGGCACCCCAGCAGAGGTCCCATGCCTTAAGGAAGGGAAAAAGAACAAGAGACTTCTAAGCCTGGGCTCCATCAAGAGGAGAGATTCATTGTTATGTATGGATTTGTAAAATGCATTCAGCTGTCCTCCAGGCAATGCTGAAAGAAATGCGAAGAAGGTCCCTGAAACTAGGATCTCCAAAAAGGCCAGCTTCCGGACAGACTTTGAAGCTAACTAGAAGAATGTAACACCAAACAATAGGCTCATTTCAAAGCTGTAACAGGTTATCTTTGTATATTAGAGAGGAAGGGTGGCTGAATGCTTATTTCTATGCATTTTCTCAAAAATGTTTTCTTCAAATCCATACAAACTTGACAAACCGTATGCAAACCATAAGAGGTCATATATGAAGAGGACAAGAGGTAAGCCTCACCATATTTTTAATGCACGTATGGTAAAACTAGGTCATATTAAAATAGAGACATTCCTTCCTATCTTAAAAAGACATTAATTTCTATCTTGATATTTTGAAACCACATGTTAGCAAGAATGACAAACTACGAGTAAAATATAACAAGTCTTACCAGTCCCACTATATTACTATGGCAATTTTATAAAAATTATTTAAAAGCAGCACCTTGTATCCCCACTTTTATCACAGAATGGTAAAGCTGAAAAGTAAGTTAGAGATCATCTAGCCTAGAGGTTCTTAACTTCCTGAACTTTTTTTTTCTTTTTTGGCTAGGAGTGGGGTTAAGTGACTTGCCCACGGTCACACAGCTAGTAAGTATTGTGTGTCTGAGTCCACATTTGAACTCAGGTCCTCCTGAATTCAGCGCCGGTGCTCTATCCACTGCGCCACCTAGCTGCCCTCTGAACTTTTTTTTTTATGTTTTGATATTGTATTTCAATATAATTGGTTTTCTTTGCAATCCTGTGTATTTTATTTTGTGCATTTAAAAACATTTTGAAATGCCCAAAGAGAAAAGCTTAAGAACTTCTGTTCCATTCTTACCCCCTCATTTTGCAGATGAGGAATGAGGCCAAAGGAAGTGATGTTTCCCCCCCTAAAAAGCTCATACTTACAAGAGCTGGGACTTAAATCCAGGTCCCCTTACTCCAAATTCAGTGCCTCCTCTCTAAAATGCTGCCTTTCAGGCTTCGAAGTTTGTTGTTGTTGCTGCTGTTGTTTGCAACAAGAATAAGTTGTTGTCCTTAATTTATTTTTCCAATACAGTTCCTCTGAGCACCTGAGAGTCAATCAAAAGGTAAAGTCCTACTCTGAAAAACTGAAAAGGCAGTAATGATCCTAAAGAACAGATAATGAAGCATACCATCTTCCTCCAAGCAAAGGGAAGGAAGGGGGTGCACTACTGTCAGACTCAGTTACTACATAGGTTGTTTTTGCTTAGCTATTGTCTTGTTAGAAGATAAGGTTCAAGTGGGCTGGAGTGGACTGGGAAATAACCCAAAATTACTACAATATAAAACCAAAATTTCAAAGTTCAATGGATTAAATACATGGTTTCAGTTTAAATTTAATTGGCATAAGGGATATGCACACAAGCTTAGTTTGCTTTGGCTACCTAGTCAGAGAATGGCTTACAAATCATGTGGATAACTGATTTAGGCAAGAGGTGGTCAAATACAGATGAAAATCAGAATGTAGATTAAGAAAAATAAAGTATTGTGGATAATATTTCATTGGAACTTTTCCAGACTCTCATAGCATTATCATCTGGATTTCTTAATTTAATTTAAAAGGCTTGACCTGCTAATCAACTCTTAAGTGTGTGGGCAGAAATTTTATTAAGTGTCCCAAATCTCCTTCTGCAAGTGTTTGGGGGAGTGACAGGAAATAATTTCTCCTTGCACTGGGGTCAAATTTCATGGTGACTTAGCCATGTGATTTGTTGGTTTTGATTACATCTGTGCCTCTGCATTTGGATCACCACCTTCAACCCCAAGAAGAAAATGGTTCAAGGATGTCACATTCTATGGAACAAATACGTCCACTGTTGCACTACAAGCTGGAGTTAGAAGAAGGAAGAGAGGGAAAGGCAAAAATGTTACAAAGGGCATTCTTAGTCCAGTTGTCTAGTTTTCAACAATCCAGTATTTCTATAGACCGTTGAAAAAAGACCAACAGAAGCAAACTAACTTTGCATGCATTTAGCTATCAGAAAGAGAGTGACTTTTAAAGGTCTCCTGTTTATAAAACAGGCAGAATAGGGTTGTCTCTTGATAAATAATTTTATAAAGGCACCCAAATCCCATCCACTGTGAAGATGAGACCATTCAATAGACTGATTAAGATATGCCAGATAACCAAACCTCTAATATTTCAGTGGCACAGAGATAAAAATAAACATTAACATTATCTTTGATTAAGAGAGGATCATTAAGACCCAGGTTTAAACTAGGACAAACCCTAAGTCAATCTTGAACATAGTAAAATGCATTTCTGCCAGCTTAACTAGTTTATTACCTGTCACACAATTTTCAACTACACCCATGGGTACCATTACCACCACTGCTAGATATTGAAAATATTTCATATAAAGATATATGCAAAAGGATAATCATATGAAGAATAGTACTGTTCTTAAAGATAAAGTATCTTGAAACCGTCTATGTGATCAGGAGTATGAACAATAATTATAACCAACATCTTAGGAATCAGATGCACTTGAATAGGGGTCACTCTATTGGAGATCCAGCTAAGGCAGGAAATCGAGTGGGTTGTGTCTTTTTAAATCCATTCACTCTTTCAGGTCTGATGACTTTGTAAATATAACTGAGGGATTTATAAATACTTGTAGCTATTCTCCTTGAAAGGAGACACAGAAGTGGGCATTGTTTTTGTTTGCATTTTCTTCATTCATCCTTACTCATCTAGATGGGGAGAAAGAATGAGAAGAAATATGATTCCAACCCCAGCCTCCAGAAAGCAGCAGCTTAAACAACCCTCATACACTGCAGCCATCTCGCTTCTTGCAGGTGAGTCATGTCCAACTCTTTGTGACCCCATTTGGGGTTTTCTTGGCAAAGATATTGGAGTGGTTTGCCATTGCCATCTTGCTACAGGCAGCTTTAGTCTTCAAATGACAGTAAAGCTACCAGTACATCAACTCCACCCCTACCCAATTTTCCTCAGGAAAAGGGGGGGTGGGGTGGGGAGAATTTAAAAAGGACACTTTTCCTCTGAACCTTAAATTAGCCTGCCCATCATCAAGTATAACTACCACAATAAGAACTATAATAACTCTAGTGTTTGTGAAAATCCTTCAAAGTTAAGTATCTGACAGGAATACTAACTTACAAAGTTGGGGGGGAGGGAGAGACCAACAACCACAAGTAAACAAGAATGTTGGATTTGGAAGTGAGAAGACCTGGGTTCAAACACTACCAATGTGGCCTTAAGCAAGTCATTTATAACCTTTTATAACACTTATAACCTTTCTTGATATCATTTTTTTTAATTTATAAAATGGAGCTGGATTAGATCACCAAAAAGGTCTCTTTCAATTCTAAATTTATAATGCTATTACTCACTTAACCCTGTTTGTCTCAGTTCCTCATCTGTAAAATGGGCTGAAGGAGGATATGGAAAAACCATGCCAGTATCCTTGCCAAGAAAACCAAGGGCAAACGCACTCACAAAAAGTTGGGCATGACTAAAAATGGTTCAACAACATAGGCTCACTATGTCAGTAATTTGAACGTACATGCACCCTAACTACATTATTCATTTTTGGTTCATAACTTTAAACCCTTTTAAAAATGCAAATATTATCTTGGAGGAGTTACAAAAACTATTTTCATCCACAGCTTAGTTTAGAGTTTATCACTTAACAGGGCACCAAGAAAACAGCACGCCTATCAAATTTTTTAAAATTATATTCCGAGGGACTGAGTGTTTTGGGTTCCCTGTGTTCTCAGCAGTGGGAAGCCTCAAGCAGCCAAGAAACAATGTGAGAACACTGGGTCTCCAGAGAAGGAAGGTACTAAAATGGGAATGGAAAAACAGGAGACAAGCTTGCCTACTTCCCTATTTGTCACAAAATGCTTATATGAAGCCAAGCAATGAATTCTCCCAACTGTCCATTTGTTTGTAGGGGTAGTAGTGGTGGTGGTGAGGGGGGCAGTAATCTAGTTGTTGGTCTCAGAGTAATTTTCAGTTGTTGGCTTTTTACCCAGTTAGGGAAGGATCCCATATTCAGCTATACACCAATTTGTAGTGTTCCTTAGGATTTATCCTTTTGGATCACCTGGTGTCATCACCTAACTGCATTAAATTATAATGGATACTTTAAGGAAATCAGCTTGAGCGATAAGTGAAGGCTCACCCAAAGCTGATTTTTATGCAGCAGCTGCAAACTGATTGAAAGATCTTTGGGTTAGGGCAGACAAAGGTAAAGCAGATTTATTATTTATTCTTAATGTTGAGATAGTTGAGACAGTCTATCAATTTTTCCATTAAGTTTCAGCTAGAAGAACTTCAGCAAGATGTGATTTTTTCCCAAGCATTTATACAGCTCTTAATATTTATTGAATAGTTTGTCAACTTACATCAGAATTTATAAAATTTTTATTTATCTTCAACTCATGTCAGCATAAGCTGGCATATAGTAAGGGTTCAGATGTAATACAATTCAACAACAGATATTTAAGTGCTTACTATCTGCAAGACACTCAGGTTCTGGGATACCAAGCCAAAAATGAAAATAGATTTCCTTCAAGGATCTTATATTCTACTAGGGTAATACATTAGATTCATAGATAAATAAAGTATATACACAAAGTGATACAATGTAGTTGCAAGAGAAGGAAAGCACAAACAGTCTAGTAAATAGCACCAGAGGTGTTTTTTGAAGGAAGGTCATAGATTACGCAAGTGACTAAGTGTGTTCTCAAGTAATTGGTAAAGAATAAAAGTGGTGTGTCTGTGTGTGTGTATACATACATACATACATACATACATACATATATATACATACACACACACACACACACACACACACACATATATATACATACTTTCTGTACTTTGGAGTTACTTTCCTTTCAAGTTTCAGATTTAGGACTAAAAGACATTTAAGAGAAGATAAGAGTAGTAACAAGCTAGAGTTCACTTACTGAGTCACTTCTCAGCATTGAGGTTGCAGTAAGGTTATCAGCAACCACCAACAGTACAGCAGTAATAACAACCCCAGGTCTCTGATGGGGAGATTGTGATAAAGAGAGAGAAGAGACACAATATGGCGTAGTATAACTGTCGCCACCTTCCATTTTAGGCAGTCTTCCCATTAACCTTTTGCTTGCTCTGGCAAAAAGATCATCTACTTAATAAAGTCTACTACTTTTTTATTCAGCAAAAAAGTATATAGAAGAAATCTATGCCAAAAATCTTGATTTGTTAAAAAAAATTGTGTATACAAAATCATAAATGATACTTTTTCATAATGTCCTTAACAAACTGCCAATAATTACAAAATCTAGGACTGTAAACATTTTATATGTAGTACTGGCTCTGTATGAATACAGTACTGAAGATACTGTTTAGGGAAATCAGAGGAAGCTTTGCCTGTTAGCTTGCTGAACATAACTGCCAAATTATGTTCTGAATTCACTGGTTAATAATTCAGATCTGTAATTCAGGATACACAGTTAATATGGCATTGCAAGAATTTGTCTACTTCCTAGTAAAATCACATAAAAGTATAATACTAACCTATGTTCATATTAAATAAATCTTAAAGCTTTGAAGTGTGATATGTCTGTTTTTGTACTGATAGGCATTCTATACAGACCAAAAGCTTTTAGATTACTTATAAACAAAACTAGCTCTCTACTTCTAAGAAATATTTACTGTATTCTAAAGCTTAAGTAAGAGATATGATAACAGTATGATTTAAAATAAAACTTCATAAGACTTCTGATTTGGTTAACTTTTATTGGTGTTATTTGTAGGAGTTGAAAAATTTGACCATACTTGAAGACCTAAAGTAAAAGACCTGGCTGTACCTTTCTTATTTTAAGCCTTTAAACACTAGTTGGAAGCACCTGGCATAAAATTTAGGTGTCACTGTTCTCTCATAACACATTTTTGGGTAATTCTGATGAGGAAGTTTTCTGAATGTCAAATGTATATCCTGATGATAGAATTTATATGGAAATGAGGGGAAGGGAAGAGAGAGTGAGAGTGAGAGAGAGAGAGAGAGAGAGAGAGAGAGGAGAGAGAGAGAGA